CAAAACTTAGATCACGCCATGTGATATTTTGGATATCCAATATGCGGACTTTCATGAAAAGTGTGCCTTTGCGTCAAAATAAAGTGTAATTATATATATAATAATAAATGGCATAGATGGTGGAAATTACTATGAGTGTGCAAAACAAGCACTGTTCACGTTGATGTTTACTGCAGCCATTTTCAATAAACATAAAAATTTCTTTATTAAATTGAAGATGATATACATTTTTTTTGTTTAATATAATCAATAACTTAGAATATGTTTCCTATGTGTGTACGCGGTGGCAGCCGTGGTGTACATATTAATTATTGCTGCGATCAAAGTAAATTCTATTGAATCGACATTTGGAACCTGGGGAGGGTGACTTGATAGTTGCGATTTTATCCTACCCAGCTAATCACGCAGAAAAGTAAGCAATTAGACGAATATCACAGAAGAGCGAATTATTCGAGGAAGAAGGAGCATATAGCAGATTATGTCTTAACATCAAATGAAGATAAGGCTTTAATTAAAGTATTTAGATTAATATACAATAAAATCTTTTCTTCTTATCTTCTATGGCCTATCCACTACCGGATATATCCGATCTCATTTTTTGCATAATGTTATTGTCTACGTTATATTATTAACTAACGCCCGAAAGTCTTCTCGGCTGATTGCTGTGTTTGTAATTTCACCGATTCTTCTATGCCCTGTCCAATTTCGGAAATTACGCAGCCATCACGTTTGTTTTCTGCCCAAGCGTCTACGACTTGCGATATGGCCTTCCACGATTAAGTGTACGAGTTCATATTTTTCTCTTTTAGTTTTTCGTTGTTTAATATACTTGAGTGCCTCACGCTACGAGTTTATTCTTCTCAGGATTTCAATATTGGATATGCGAAGAACTTTTAGAAAATCAATATTACAAGTTAGCAAAATTTGGGCTTGTCTTTTGAGTTAAAAATAATAGATTGTGATCTTTTAGCAAGCGAAGAGGCGCTATCAGAGTGTAAGACACATACATTTGTGGAAATTTTCCATTCCCCGAAACTGTTTTACAGTGTTTATTCCAACTATCCCCACAGGAAGTCAATAATTGGTTTGCAGAAATTCCGATGGAAAGCCTCCCCTATTTGTACTGAATTTCAATACACTACAGTATAGTGCATTTTGTACTGAATTTCAATACACTACAGTATAGTGCATTTTGTGCTGAATTTTGCTATACTACAGTACACTACAGTATAGTGCATTTTGTATTGAATTTCAATACACTACAGTATACTACAGTATAGTGTATTTTGTACTGAAACATTTTGTACTACAGTATAATGTATTTTGTACTAGAATTTGCTATACAACAGTCTTCTACAGTACAGTGTATGTTGTACTGAATTTTAATACACTACAGTATAGTGCATTTTGTACTGAAAATTTTTATACTACGGTATAGTGTATCTTGTACTGAAATAGTTTGTGCTACAGTATAGTGCATATTGTACTGAAAATTTTTGTACTACAGTATAGTGCACTTTGTACTGAAAATTTTTATACTGCAGAATAGCGTATTTTGTACTGAAATAGTTCGTACTACGGTATAGCGAATTTTGTACTAGAATTTACTATACTACAATGTACTACAGAATAGTGCATTTTGTACCGAAAATTTTTATACTACAGCACTGTTCATTTTGTACTGTAAAACGTTGTACTATAGCACAGTGTATTTTGTACCGAAATATTTTGTACTACAGTATATTGCATTTTGTACTGAATTTCAATACACTACAGTGTAGTGCAATTTGTACTGGATTTCAATACTCTACAGTATACTGCAGTATATATTATTTTGTATTGAAATAGGTGGTACTACAGTATAGTGAATTTTGTACTGAAATACTTTGCACCACAGTACAGTGTATTTTGTACTGAAATTGTTTGTACTACAGTACAGTGAATTTTGTACTAGAATTTACTATACCACTGTGCACTTCAGTATAGTGTACTGAAAATTTTTACACTACTGTACCGTTCATATTGTACTGAAATATTTTGTACTAAAGTATAGTGTATTTTGTACCGAAATATTTTGTACTACAATATAGTGCATTTTGTACTGAATTTCAATACACTACAGTATAGCGCATTTTGTGCCGAATTTTGCTATACTACGGTACACTACAGTATAGTGCATTTTGTATTGAATTTCAATACACTACAGTGTTCTTCAGTATAGCGTATTTTGTACTGAAACATTTTGTACTACAGTATAAGGTATTTTGTACTAGAATTTACTATACCACAGTCTTCCACAGCGTAGCGTGTTTTGTACTGAATTTCTATACACTACAGTATAGCGCATTTCGTACTGAAAATTTTTATACTACGGTATAGTTTATTTTGTACTGAAATAGTTTGTACCACAGTGTATCGCATTTTGTACTGAAAATTTTTATACTACATTATAGTGCATTTCGTACTGAAATAGTTTGTACTACAGTATAGCGAGCTTTGTACTAGAATTTACTATACCACAGTGTACTACAGTATGGTGCATTTTGTACTGAAAATTTTTACACTACAGCACAGTTCATGTTGTACTGTAGTGCTTTGCACTACAGTACGGTGTATTTTGTACTGAAATGTTTCGTACTACAGTATAGCGCATTTTGTACTAATTTTCAATACACTACGGTGTAGCGCATTTTGTACTGAATTTCAATACACTACAGTATTCTACGGTATAGTGAATTTTGTACTGAAATACTTTGTACTACAGCATAGTGTATTTTGTACTGAAATTGTTTGTACAACTGCACAGTAAATTTTGTACTAGAATTTACTATACTACAGTGTTCTTCAGTATAGCGTATTTTGTACTGAAAATTTTTATACCACAGTACAGTTCATATTGTACTGAAACAATTTGTACTACAGTATAGTGTATTTTGTACTGAAATCGTTTGTACTACAGTATAGTGAATTTTGTACTAGAATTTACTATACTACAGTACATTGTATTTTGTACTGAAATACTTTGTACTACGGTGTAGTGTATATTGTACTAAAATTTACTATACTACAGTGTACTATAGTATAGTGTATCTTGTACTGAAATTTCGCTATACTGTAGTACAAACTATTTCAGTACGAAATACACTATAATGTAGTATAAAAATTTTCTGTACAAAATGCAATACACTGTGGTACAAACTATTTCAGTACAAAATAAACTATACCGTAGTATAAAAATTTTCAGTACGAAATGCGCCATACTGTAGTGTATAGAAATTCAGTACAAAATACGCTATGCTGTAGAAGACTTTGGTATAGTAAATTCTAGTACAAAATACCTTATACTGTAGTACAAAATGTTTCAGTACAAAATACACTATACTATAGTACAATGTAGTGTATTGAAATTCAATACAAAATGCACTATACTGTAGTGTACCGTAGTATAGCAAAATTCGGCACAAAATGCGCTATACTGTAGTGTATTGAAATTCAGTACAAAATGCACTATATTGTAGTACAAAATATTTCGGTACAAAATACACTATACTTTAGTACAAAATATTTCAGTACAATATGAACGGTACAGTAGTGTAAAAATTTTCAGTACACTATACTGAAGTGCAAAGTGGTATAGTAAATTCTAGTACAAAATTCACTGTACTGTAGTACAAACAGTGCAAAATACACTATACTGTGGTGCAAAGTATTTCAGTACAAAATTCACTATACTGTAGTACAGACTATTTCAATACAAAATAATATATACTGCAGTATACAGTAGAGTATTGAAATTCAGTACAAAATGCACTACACTGTAGTGTATTGAAATTCAGTACAAAATGCAATATACTGTAGTACAAAATATTTCGGTACAAAATACACTGTACCATTGTACAAAGTTTTTCAGTATAAAATGAACAGTGCTGTAGTATAAAAATTTTCGGTACAAAATGCACTATACTGTAGTACAAAAATTTTCAGTACAAAATGCACTATACTGTAGTACTGTTGTACTAGAATTTACTATACTACAGTACAATGTATTTTGTACTGAAATACTTTGTACTACGGTGTAGTGTATATTGTACT